CATTATTTGTCAGCTGCCTTTCAAATAATTGTAAGCTCCATTGTCTACCTCAGCATTACTATTATCTTTTCAGCAGAGGCAGATAAACTTATAGATTTCCCCAATATTTAAGACTGTATGGGGTCATTTCATACTGATGCAAAATTATTCTATAAGAGGTTCAAGTATTGTTATTTTGTCACTGCTTTGTCAGGAGGCTCAGATGGAACACCTCCAGCACAAAGGTCTCTTCTGAATTATGGTGGAAGCAGTCACTGAGATGATAAATATAGCCCAGACGAGATGTTTATGATGTGGGGCATGACAATTAATGCAGCAGAATATGGGTAACCCCTAAAGGGGTCCTGGTGTTGGCAGTGATCATAAGATTCAAAATCAACTCATGCAGTACAGCAGCTCAACTTATTGGGCTCCTCTGGGAGAGTCAGTATGGAAGCTCCTGTGACAGAGGAAGTAGACACTGAAATTAAAATTGATGCTAAGGTATGGATGATATTTAATGTTTCAAAAAATTGTCTTCTGTTATTTAAGAATGACCAAAGGCTAATGGTGAGAATGGGGAAGAAACAAGAATTGCAGGTGCCTTCACATCCTATGATATTTCTGTATAGGGTGCAAAGTTTGAATCATTCAAGATTATTACATAAGCATTTATGTTAATTACAATATACTTAAATATTTAAATTGAACATTTGTATTGTTAAAATATTCAGAATAAAGTTTTTAACAAAGTAAGATTTCTTGTCTGATTTTTTTTTCTCAAAACACGTAGAAGCAATGTGTTTGGACGGTGAATTGAATTCTTGGCCCTAAATTCCCCAATCTGTCTTTGAACATACTGCATACACGATTTTGAAAGAACTTCATACAGACTGAAGCAGTGTGCAACTTCTTTATGGCATACTGCCTTGTTTTCCAGTTAGGCAGAGCAAACAAATCACATTTTCTTTGGTAAACCTAAATGGAAAAAAGGATTGAGAAATCACCAACAAAGCTGCAAAATAATTGTTTGCCTCCTTCCTATAGCATTTTGTATGCCTTCAATATTTAAAGGAATAAATTAGGGAGAAAAATTGCATACAGAATGAAATAAATGTTTGAAGAAGTCCTAATGTAAGCATCATTTTGCTTATTGAATGGCATCAGCAACTTTCTGATATGGGAATAATAAAATTGAAACAGAGATTGTCACTTAAACCAAACCAGTAATCTTTCCTGACTATACCTCTGAATGACATAAACAAAAGTGCACCTCAGAAGTGATATGTATTTTACTGTAGAACTACTCATGCACTTCCCTTCAACTGTTTGACATTTAATGTACTACAAAGGTTTTGCTCTCCTATATATCAAATTACCTGAAGCCTCGTTATATTTATCAGTGTATGTAAACAAACATCTCATTGGTAAGGTTTTTGAAAACACACGTCTTTGCCTTTTCAGTGTATAGTTATCAACAATACTTCCAATGTGAATTTTAAAAATTACCACAAAATGTGCCATTTCTTAAAAGTACTTTTATTAGAATAGTGTATGTGAAGTTTGTTGAAAAATTTGAAAGCTGGAGCCTCAGTTTTTTTAAGGACTTTAAATTCCAGCATGTAAGATTGGGGGCAATGAGGGAATAAGCTCTGTTGGGTTTGGCTTACTAAGCCCCTTTTCATTGCCACCTGGTATACTACTGGCCTGATGAAACACTTAATAAAGCCACTTGGATGTAACATTTACTCAGGTGAATTTTACCAATGTAGGATTGAATGGATAGCACATTTGGTGCAGAGAAATACAAGAAGGCAAACAATGCAAAACTTCCCAGCATAGAATAGATCACATTATATAATCCTATAGGGAAGTGGCTAGAAAGGAAGATTAAGGAGGAGAAAAAGGATAAAAATTCTGACCAAGGAAAAGGGCTCCTCCTTCTATTTCTTAAATGGATATTGTGGAATCAAACCAAGCTATTTACATACTTTTAAATATATTTATTTTTATTTGTTTTCAGAGAAGAAGTGAATTGTTAGAACCACCAAGGGTGAGAGAGAATCATGGGTTGGCTGCCTCCTAAAAGCCACTTACTGGGCTTGGAGACCACAACCTAGGCTTTCAACCCTGACCTCCTGGTTTACAGGTCAAAAATGAACCCCTGAGCCAAGTGGATTAGGATTTGGCTTTTTTATTCAGAGTTTTCCGTTTGTCATCTGTGTCCCTCAGTTGTCCTAAATCCAACCTCCCTGACTATAATGCAGATTGGTGGAATCTAGGATACATTCAATAGTAAGCAACCGACTATTGTGCCTTACTCTCCCTGCTTGCTTTCCAATGGCCTGAAGACCCCCATCCATGCAGCCTTCATGTACAGGCTCCCTGTGCACCAGCAGTCACCACCTACCCAGGGCCCTTGTGTGCCCATCTTCACAGATGATGTATTTATATAAACATGCACTTGATAAGCCTCCTTGCCCTGATAGTATGCCTTTTTGTGCATTTTGAAGGAAAGTTCATCAAAATAAATAATTTTGCTGTATTAACCAGTTGAGGTCTCCCGAACAAATGAAGTGTCAAGTTCAAGAGACCCATTGAGAGACAACATGCAGCAATGAGTTTTCATTTGTTTCATCTTGTTTTTTGGAGTGTTTTTAAATTCATTCTTTAGAGAGAGAGGAATGGAGAGAAACGGACAGAGAAGCATGCATTCATGTGAGCCAGAAATATTAATGGTTTCCTGGGGACCGGACCTGCCACCTAGACATGTGCCCAGACCAGGAATCATACGGGGTGACCTTTGTCATTCACAGGATAATGCTGAGCCCTGCTGGCCAGGGTCACTAACTTTCACTTTTCTTCCTTAACTTGGCTAATAATCACTATAAGTGGCTCATAATCACTATTAATGCTAATAACAGTGGACAAGTCCAGAACAGGACATGTTGACAAGTGCTTTACATAAGTTAGCCCCACAGGTGAATCTCACCACAATGTAATGGGACATGGTCTCTATGTGTGGTGAGGAACCAACACCCAGATCATGAGATGTGTAGCCCATGCCCTTCCTCCTCCCAAACCTGCCCATTTTTTTACTTTTCCTCAAATTCCAGAGATTCTGATCCCAATTATGCACACTGTTTCCCTGTCAAGCGGGGATAGGATGGCCAGGTGCAAGCAGAGAAAGAGAGTGTTTGATTAAGAGATAATCTCGTTCTGTGATCATCTTTCATGGGGTTTGGGAGACTCACCATCCATTACAGATATCTCAGCATTTTTTCTCCTCTATAGAGGTAGTATATTGTGCGTTGCTGGTGTGACTTAGTAGACCTATGATCCAAGAGGACATAGTTCAATTCTCAATTGAGGCACGCCCCCAAGTTGAGGCCTTGATCCCAGGGGGCATACAGGAGACAGCCAACTAATGATTGTGCCTCCTTATTGGGGTTTCTATACATCTCTTTCTCTCCCTTTCTCTCTGAAATTACGAACTGTACTTAAGAAATGATAATATATGCTCCCAAGATGATGGGCCCAAACTAGAACAGTGGAAGGAAGAAGAAAATAAAGTAATGGCAATAAAAAGAAAGAAGGGCCAGGTGCTGTGTATGGCAAGCTGGGAAGCTGCTGATACCCAGCAGAGAGCAGCAAGCACATGAGTTGCTGGCACTGAGTGAGAGACATAAATAGCACATTAAGGAAGATGAGAGGAACACGTGAAGGCCTGCCCCTGGGCCTGGGTGTGTGGCCTTCTCCCCAGGTGCTCCTATAGCTGAGCGCTCAGTGAGCCAAATGAGACAGCCCAGGGCCAGAATGCAGTGGCATGTGCCAGAGCACCTTTTTCTTGCTGGGAAGCTGTCCTTTGACTATGGGAATCCAACCGCATAGTATGACTTCTTCCTTTCACTTGGTTGAATTGCCCCCCAGGATGGCCCTCCAAACCCCCAACTCCCTAGAGTGACCTTCACCTGTGTCCACTTAAGAGCTTTCCCAGAACTGGCTTGGGATAGGCCAGTCGTCAACCACAAAACTCAAGGCCTGTCACTGCTCAGAGTTGGTTTACCACAGCCTTGACTGATGATAATGAAGATCCTGTGGAGAGAGCCTTCTCACATTATGACCTAGCCTCCACAAAGGGTTTCATATTAGTAAGGGACCCAGATTTTAAGCATAGGTTTATGCCAGCTTAGCATTTTGGTGAAAGGAATATAACTGTGTTTACTGCCACAAGTATTGGAATTCAAGCAGGGGCTGGATCAAGGGAGATGACAGATTTGGATTTGGAAGTTCAGGCCTCTGATTACCTGGCAGGATTATGTTCCTTTCAGTACTGGAGACCTGACTTGTACACAGGGAAGCTCTACCATGGAGTGACCACAGGCCAGTGATGGAGGCTCCCAGTGGGGAGGAGTGTTTTAAAACATGGTCACTAAAAAGTTGTAGTTCAGTGGTGCTAATGGGAGGCCACTTGTTCCAGTCCATGTGGATGCCCCTTCTGTGGGCTGATCCTCTGAACAGTCACAGAGCTAAGGGAAGAGGTCCTTGTGCCCCAGAAAAACCACCAAAGCAAAAAGGATAAGTCGCAATGGAGCTGCTGGAACCAACCTCACCACACTAGTGTCTGTGGATCACAGATGCTCATGCCCTCTTATTGGACCAGCAACTGCTGATGGCAGAATAGGGATAATATATCATAAGGGACTCCAAATGGTTCACATTCGGTTTCCTTTATTACTGACATTTATTCACAACCATTCAAACAAAGGTAATCTTGCTTCTACCTGCCAAGCCTGAATTCCACCTCCCTAGAGATTCAGGTGCACATCTCTAATTCCTTAGGACCCATCTCCCTAAAGAAAACATCTGCCCCCAGTCAGTATCTCTCCCCACCACTGAGTAGTTGTGTGAAAATGGCTGCTGGGTTCCTTTTAAGATTCACTTATGTCTGGGCTTCAGTGTCCAAGGGCCCAGAGTAAAGCTATGAGATGTGAACCCAGCTAGACAAGCATGTAACAGGGTCACAGAATGGGGTTTGGGTTATAGAAGTTTCTATAGACACCATGAGGACTGGGGTAAGCATAGAACCAGAACATGCCTGGGCGCCCCAACTCCTGCAGCATATGCTTCAGCCCCTCATGCACCTGGGCAAGTAGGCCCAGGTTGATGATGTTGTTGCTCCTTTCGTCGAAACTCTCCAGGGGGGCAGGATACAGCATACAATTCAGCTTGCTCAGCCTGATTGTGTGGCGAAGCAGGTCCTCCAGGACGGTCATGGAGATGGTGTTTTCACAGAAGCTTAGGGTCATGAGCTGAGAGCAGTGGCTCAAGGCAGGCAGCAGGTCCATGAACTGGGAGTCCATGATACCACACTCATCCAAGTACAATTCCTGCAAGGTGGGGGAGGCTCTCTCTAACAGCAATTGGAGGGGCCCAGAACTGATGTCGGTCAGGTTGAGCCTCCATAAATTCAGGACTTTCAGCTGGCTGACATTCAGATGCTGGGAGAGATGTCTCAAGTCACTTTCTAAGAGCATGCAGCTAGTGATGGACAGAGTCTCCAAGGGAGTCTTCAGGCAGCTGGGGAAACACAGAGCAGTTAGGTGAGAGGTTTGGAATGATTAGACAGAGGGAAGCAAGCATGAGACGGGCCTTAAAGTATAGAGGCCCATCTCACTGTAGTATAAGGTCTTCCAGATGATGATCAAACCCAGGACCTTGCACAGTGAAAAGTGTGATTCAGTTAGTGCAATTTGAGTGGAATCCTTTCTCCATATCCTACCTGCTCTGCGAGGGATTCAGCTCCATGAAACATCACACCCTTCATTTGTTAATCTGTTACCATACACCGAACCTCAGACACACAGGTGTTGTGAGCATGACTGATGGTATTAGAGGTGAGAGGAGCTCAGAACGGAGCTCATGCAGTAGGCAACCAGTGAAATTTAGTTTTGGAGACAGGAACCAACATGCCACCCATTTGGGCTCCCTACCAGCCACAGCCTGGACTCCTGTAACCCTCATCTCTTAGCACATGTGGCTACTGGCTTAGTTGCAGAAAGGGCTAATCTGGACATGGTTGGGTATCATCCAGCTGGAGCTGCCATCCTGCAGGAACTTGGATCACTGCATCTTCTACAAACTACCTATCCCTTTTCAGGATTGCTCCCTCCAGAATCCTGCAGTCATCAGGCATTCCTTAGTAGGAGCCTTTGGCAAGCCTTGGCAAACAGGTGATTAGAAGCAGGTTTGGATTGAAAGACTGCCATCACCAAATCGATAAGTGTGGACCTAAATTCCTGAAACTTCACTTCTTATGGGCTTTCCTCTCCTTACTGCCAACCTCATGATTCCATTGCACCATCTTCCCTTACGCACCACTTCGGATTCCCAAGCTCCCATCACTCACCCAAAGCCCCCATTACTTCCATTCCTAGTAAGGAGTCTCTTTAGTAGCATCTTTCTTAGTTCATAAATCCTACCTTTGTCTGTGGGAAGGGGTGGATTACTTGACAACATGCAAGGGAACTGAGCAATGAACAAGACACTGACTGTGTGGACCCTCTAGTGACTCAGACTCTGTAGCACTGCTAATGAATGGCACATAGGAGGTCCTGTCACTGTGGAATGAAATGAGGAGCTTGCTCTGGTCTGCAGAGAAACCTCGCCATCCCTCACCTGAGGATCTGGTCCAAGCGGCCTTTGAGGATGGAGACATCATGCAAATAGAGCTCCTGGAGGCAGGAAAGCCTGCGGAACTGAGAGGTGAACAGGCTAACACAATGCTCCTCCTGCTCCAAGGTGGTGTGAGAAGATGTAAAGACATGGGAGAGGAGGAACCGACGCAGATTGCCCATCTGGCCCAGGAAAGGAGTGAACTTCCTCAGAGTGGACAGCTTCCAGGTACAATTTAACTTCAAATCCTGGACAGAGTTAAGCTGCACCATACCCAGGATGTTAATGTTTTCCTTTGACACAGCATAAACCTTCAGCTTCTTACAGCAAAGGTGCAGCAAACCTCTCCTCTGGCTGACTTTCTTAATAAGGTAACTGAGGGATTCGTCAAGGACACCACTCTTGAGGCAAAGATCTACTAACACCTCCATTGGGGCCGAGGGTGGCTTTGGCCCCTTTGTTAATCTCTCCAGTTTCCCCGTCCTCCTCATGGGCTGTGGGGCCTCAGGATCCAGCAGTGAGCACACATCAGCTCTGATTCCGGCCCACACAATCCAGAACTCCTGATGAGCTCCCTTCTGTAAATTCAGCATCTGCATTTTCCACCGTCTGTGGAGAAAATAGGAGGTAGACAGGGGTACATTAAGATATCAGGAAATAAGACCAGGGCCATGAGTCTGGGAATCTTGACAGCTGGGCCAGACACCTAATGGGACTTTTACTCCTTACCCCAGAAATCAGATGCTCCTTGCACTACTGGGATCTTTTCTGGTCCCCATTTCTGGTACCTTTCAGTGCTACCAGGAAAAGGGTTTCATGGCCTTCCTATCTCCCTCTCATCTTCATCAGCCCTATATATCTGAAGCCTGTTCCCAGAATGACCCCAGCAGTGACTCCAAGGACTCTGTGAGCTCTTTCTGTGGCCCTATTCACTCCTATATCCCAGTTGTAACTGCTCATACCCCCAGGGCCCAACCAGGTCACTGAATCCTCCTCACCTTGGTCGAGTCTCCTGGGAAAGCAGGGCATCTAGCCCATCGAGCACAGCCTGCAAGATATCATGGTAAGGCTGTTGATGGTTCAACAAGGCCCCCAGAGGGAGGCAGGGGAAGGGCCAAGCCTGCACCAGAGCCTTCAGGACATTGCTGTGCCTCCCAGCCACGGCAGCCGTGAACAGAGGTGGGAAGAGCTCCATAGGCAGCCACTCCACTGCAGCAATGGCCGAGGCTTCATCCCTCAGCAGGCTCTGGCATGCCAGGTCCAGGAGTCTGAGTGGAGCCTCACTGTTCATCCTGATGAAGTGGCTCTGAAAGAGATTCTGGGAAATGGTCAGGAGCAAGGCATCATGTCAGGCTAAGCATGAGCAACCCCATTCCCTCTCCCTTCAGAATAACCAGCTGAGGGCCAAAGGCACTGCTCTGGCAACAACTGAAATGTACCAACTTACCCCAATTCCATCTTCTGCTTAGGAGCCACTCAGCCCTGCCTCTCCTAGGCTGGTGGCAGTATATATATTATACCTCATCAGAAACCAAGGAGTGGTAAGGCGACCATTGCACCCCTCCCACATCTACTCACGTTCTACCTGTAATTCTGCTGTGCAATGAATACTGGGAAACCAGAGAGATGATCCCACCCTTTTCAGAGAAACCTTTCTTAATATTGCTGAGGGACTAAAAGCCCCTGCAGTAGGCAGCAGCCCTTGGTCCATCACACCTCTTGCTAAGCTTCAATAAATTAAATGGATGGGAAAGATTAAAGAACACCCACACAACACATTCCTTGTGTCTTCTGATATATTCTAAAAGAGTAAAAGCAGAAAAATGTTTTCATAGACTTTGGGAGTTAGAGATGAGAAAAATAACCATTAATTTGAGATGTACATTTTTTGTGTGTCCCTACTATGAATATTAGAATGACCACTTTATCCATGACACAGAGGGCTCACATGCCACAACTAAGCCTTTTCCCAAAAGAGACTGCAAGCCCTAGTCAGTGTTGCTCAGTTGGTTGGGCATTCCCCCTTGAACCCAAGCTCATTTTTCAGGTTCCATTCCAAACTCCAGTACAGAGTAGGCAGGAGCCAGTTGGTGGATGATTCTCTAATCAATGTTTCTCTCTGTCTTTCTCCCTTCCTCTCTTTCTAAACATCACTTGGCTTTTATTAAAGAACTCCCTTAAGACCTATTGTTAGACACATAGCCTGCCCTCCAAAAAATCCCAAAGGGATATTGCCACTTTGGTTTGCAATAGGTTCCTTGGGAATACTCTTGTTTCAGACACCATGGAAACTTGCCCTGAAAATCTATATAAATGGTACACATCGAAACAGAAATAAAAACCTTTTGGATTAAGTCTAACCTGCATCTGCTGGCAAAAGCAAAGTCTGTTCATTTATGAGGAAATAAACCACAATTATCTGTGGGTCCTGGGGAACCACGTTAGGCTTATGATTCACCAGACTGCGTATAATGCAAGAGCCCGCTGCTCCAACCTGGGCAGTGTCACTCATGCTCTTGCCTCTGGTCCCTCAGCCTCCTCAGAAACCATTATACCCCATCTGGCCACACCTTCCTTTCGACATCCTAGCTGAAATGGCAATTTCCAACTGAAAGCTGAACCTTAGTACTGGTTCTCCAGGCAATTTACCTGATTGGGTTTTGGACTCTGCACACCTCCAACTGAATCCTAGGTTCTTTCATGATAGGAAAAGAAAATGAAACCAACCTGGAAGTAGATTTGATGGGTTGTTGGTACCACATAAAAAGTATTCCTGGTAATACACCATTAGGCAGATAAGGTATCCTCTCAAGAGAAAAAAAGAATACAATGCAAAAGCATTGAGTACCAAACAGTCCATGTCACGTGATGTTACCTCAACTGCAAACTCATGCCTATTCAAAGAGTAACAGAGGGACAGTTGTTCCAGATTTTGAGGATCAAGCCTTACCCAAAAAAGGAAGGGCCAAAATCACATCTAGGGATTATTCAGGAGAAGGGAGAGGTGCAAATTTGCAATGGGACCAAGAAAGTGAGCCAAAACGAAGTGTACACTTGGGAAACTCACAGGCTCTGACTGGGTGAACTAGAGAACTGAAAAGGCTGGTAGTTAAGAAGGAAATGGGTGGATCCCTTAAACCCACGCTTATGGGGGTACAGGAAGGAGGTTCAATCACCCTCCCTCTGTGTAGGTAAAGGCCATTTCCTCCAGAAGAACCAGATGAGCTCAGCAAACTGGCTTGAGAAAATTAAATGTAAAAATATGGGCTATGCAGAGGCCAGAGGAAGGTTTTTAGTGAAACCTGGGAAATGACTTATCCAGTTACAAAAGCCTTAGAGAGGCTACAATCATGTGCTCCTTTGACTCTTGGAGGCACAGAGAAAAATAAACCTGGACCAAAATCCCTAACTTTCCTTATCAAGGAGTTGCTCCCAGAGGCCATTCTCTTTAGCTCAGGCCTCTCTGTGGCACCACCCCTGATTTTCCACAGATAGCAGATTAGGTCCAGGCAAGTTCCAGGGTTCTGGCCCTAAACATAACTGCCAAAGAATGTATTGATTCTTTCACAGTTATGTTTGCTCAACCCCAGGGAACAATACATGCTATTTAGCTTCAAAAAGTTCCTTCTAGGCCTAAAACTCTCATTCAGATAGTGAGGGAAGATTGTCCTCTCTCAGGAGTAAGCAAGAGTGCAGAGATACACTTTGCCCTTCAAAGACTTGAATGTGTACTAGTATTTGGCATATTTGGTAAAGTTATATGATATTATAGGATGTCCCACGGTGCACTGAGTCATAAATTGGATCTTTTGAAATTGAGACCTGAGAGAGACGCGAGAGAGAGAGAGAGAGAGAGAGAGAGGCGCACCACTTTTCTGCATGGTCTTCTTTACCTCCTGCAATGTGATTCCTAAACATCTCTCTTATTCCAGGGAGAGAGACCATGTGACATTACCACAGTGGTGTTCACCAGAAATTACAGAATGGTTAATTAGATTTCTTGAAGAGTTTCAAATTGTAATGAGTTCAGGAAGTTAATCTAGACTTGTTCCTGGGCTTTTAGTAGGAGTAGTGCCACATAGGGGGATGCATTCTCTTTAACACTGACAGAACATGCACTAGAAATACCCTGGAAAATTACATGATCCCAAGCTCAGGCAGCTTCTATGAGATCCCAGCTTCCAGAAGTTACAAGGAGGCAGGAGGGACCACTTAGAATGACCAGTAAAACAAAGTCTGAGTTGAACTTGTCTTCTTCAAAAGTAAGAACCTCTCCTCTTCCCATGCAGATCCTGCTTTCCTGGGGAATGAGCTGGGCGACTGGAGGCAGGAGCACATCTGCATCAAGGGCTGTCCTTCCTGCGCAGTATAGGAGAGGACCTGCCAACTCCCAGCACCCACACATGAATCTGGGGATGTTTTTACCACATCCTGGTCCCCTTCCACCTGCCCTCATCATGACTCTCATTTATGTACAAGCCACAGCAGCCTTTGAGCACATGATTCCTACTGGGATCCCAAGGCATCTGTCCTTCCAACTTTTTGTCTTCTGTTTTGTTTTTGAGTGGTACTTAGAATGTGTCAGAAGGTTGGGAGCCCTTCTTATGCATCTCTGGGATGTCAGCCAACCCCTCATAACCCTGATGCTGAGACACTCACTGACAACAGAAATCGGGAGATATCCCCAATTCATCCGAGCTCTTTTGGAAAACATGACTTGCTACAGTGTAGAGAAGGAAAGCTGCTCTCCCGGATCCAGAGATGTAACCGAGAGGTGGTAGTATACCTTTCCTGGTTGCATATCTCTATGGGCCTTCAGAGGCCCAGTGGATCAGTCCCCATGCATGGGCTTTCCCACATTCAGCTCTCTTAACCCAGCCTTTGAGCAGACATGGTGTCTTTCCCTTTGAAGTCAGACCTCTTCTTACCCTGACTTATATTATCCTCTACCTTTTGGAAACTCAAAAGTCTCTGCTCGCCCTACCTGCCCTGCCTGTGCTCAACAAGGCTTGGTTTCACCTCAGACCCAATGACATCTAACAATGGACTGTCCCTCTTTCTTTCTCCCCAAGGAGGGCTTGAGAAAATTAAATGTAAAAATGTGGCCTGTGCAGAAGCTAGATGAGAGTTGCCGAAGCAAATTCTGGGACATGACTTATCCAATTATAAAAGGCACTGAGGGGCGAGAGTTGTGGGCTCTTTAGAACTTTGAGGCCCAGAGAAAAATATACATGGGCTAAAACAAAAACTATGTATCCTTATTAAGAAGCTGCTCCAAGAGGCTCTTTAGCTCAGGTCAGGTCTCCTCTTCCACATCCTGACCTTCCACAGGTAGATTAGGCCCAGGCAAGGTCAAGGGACTTGGCCCTAAACATGACTGCCAAAGTTTATATGGATAACTAATGTTTGCTCAACCCCAGAGAACAACCCCAGAGAATTTGCTTCAAAAAGCTCCTTCTGGACCTAAAATACTCAGATTGTGAGGAAAGAGTGTCCTCTCTCAGGATTAAGCAGAGTGTACAGATACACCTTCCCCTTCAAAAGATTTCAACATGTACTAAAGATCTGCCATATTTTGGGAAAGCCCATGCTGCACTGAATCACACATTAAATCTTTTCAAATTGAGAGAGAGAGACAGAATGATTGAGACAGAGAAATTGCGACACTGGGAGAGAGAGGAGGGTGGAGAGGGAAGAAAGGAAAAAGAGGGAGAGAAAAGGAGGTAGAAAGAGAGAGAGAAAAAAAAAAAACTTTTCTGCAGGAACTTCTCTACCCCCTATAATGTGATGCCCAAGCAACTCTCATATTCCAGAGAGAGGGACCATGTGACCGATTACCATAGCATTGTTCTACAGAAACTTCCAGAATGGTTAATTAGATTTCTGAAGAGGTTCAAACTGTAATGAGTTCAGGAAGTTAATTTAGATTTGTATCCTGGGTTTTTAGCAGGAGTGGTGCCACATGGGGCTGTATTTCTCTTTAACACTGATATTACATACCCCAGGAGGAACCTGGAAAATTATAGGAGGCCAAGCACAGGCAGCTTTTGTGAGATTCCAGAGTTGAAGAGATTCAAAGAGACATGAGTGATCACTTAGAATGACCTAGTATCAAAGTCAAAGCTGAAAATGCATTTTTTAAAAAAAATGTTATTGAGTTTTTACAGAGAGGAAGATAGAGAGATAAAGAGTTAGAAACATAAATGAGAGAGAATCATTGATCAGCTGCATCCTGCACACCCTCCACTTGGGATGTGTCTGCAACCAAGGTACATGACCTTGACCAGAATC